GAATTAGTTTGATCGAGATCCAGTTGATCCTAGATGGCGTTTGTATACGCAAATAGAGATCGATCGGATCACAGTAGTTCGTTTGTATATACGATTTGTACGATCGAAGTGATCTTGGATCAGTTTGATCCCAAAAAAGTATATGCACCCTAGGACTAACCGAGTTTAGACTGATATAGAAGATAGAAAATAAGAATTAAAATTTTTGTCGTTTTTGTACACTATATAGTTCATACACAAAACACAAGACAATCTTCATTGTAAATTTATTCAATTTTTAGTTTTAATTTTAAAGAATTAAAATACAGAGTTGAAAGGCAGCTATATACCGACAGTTGAAACAAAACAAGGGAAAGTTAATTGCCATCCGTGCTCTCGGAGTTAGTGCTCTCAAGAGCCCCACTAAGAGATATGAATGCCAGTAGAAAATGAAACATCGTACGCGTGTGAATGAGTTGGTGCGGGTTGCAAGGCCAGTTGTATCCTACAAGAATAACAGCTCCCATTAAACTATCCCTAATGTGATTGTACCTATTGCGGCGAAAAACTAATTGAAGTGGTGTTTGGTCTTCCTGAATACCATAATCGCATTATGTATTGTCCCCAAGGTTAAATCTATGCAAGTACTGTATTGCTTAATGCAGAAAATTAAAGATATCTCTAATAATTTTTAAAATGATTAAAATATAAAATTTAATGTGTAAATTATTTTAACCTATCAAACTATTCGGGTAAACTTGCAGATGGCATTTTTGAAAATAACTTCTTAAGTGGTTAATAAATATTTTAAACAAATTTAGAATTATAAAAATTTTGAAAAATTCATATTTTTTTATACTCTATTATATATTAAAGCGACATAGAATACGTAACACTACTGCTGTGATTGAGTAAACATTGACGATTTCTAATTAATTTAAGAGTCAATACTTGTTTAACTGTTATTTTAATATTTAAACTGGAAATTCCGCATATTTTAGTATTTTTACATATAGAAGAGTAAATCTGATTTATATTAAAAGCCGTGCATTTTTACATGGGAATTTTAGGGGTGGCTACGTAACTGAGGTGCCACAAAGCCAAGTTTTAGTATACATGACAATATGAAAATACTAGATTATCATATACACTACTAGATTCTATACAAACTTTTTAAGAGTACATAAAATTAAATTCGCATGTAAAGTTGTGCCAATCAAATGCATTTAAATAAAAGTGCATTCTATAAATAAAGCTGTTTACACACAAGGGACATTCCTAAAGTCATTTTATTAATTGGATATGTAATTTATACACTGGAAATTATTCATTTAATTTGTTTTTGGAAGAATTAAATAAACGATTCTTTCCACAGTTATTGTTATGTATATGAAGTTATATGCTCAAAACAAACAACTGTAATGTTTTTAGTTGTTTGTTTTATTTGATTAAAGCAACGTGACACATGGACGATCTTCCTAGGAGAGTGCTTATGTTTATATAAATAAATAATTTATTTATTTAATTAAGATAATCAACACAATTGAACTTACTGGCTTAGTTTAACATTCCTGCTTCTACAATAATAATATAATTCATTTTTCATAATTAGCTCGTGTTTTATAAAGTTGTGAGTTGATTGATTTATTCACTCGAGGTCTCTGCATATTCTAGGCCAGTGTTTTTTAATCCTTTTCAGTTTTGGACCCTATTGAACGTAATAAATTTTCTGTGGCTCCCTATAATAGGAACTCGTGGAAAAATTTTAAAATATACATTTAAAGTATTTTAATACCGTCGCATGAATCGTCACCTTTAAATCTAGATTGTCACCATTTGTCAGTGCTAAATCTAAATACATACAATTATTCATCGTTCATAGTCTTTAATATAAAAATACTGTGATGAAAATCAAATATGGCACTAAGCCCTTTAACTTAACGGCCGGATGGCCGAGAGGCTGTCAAAATGACAGCCCTCTGCTTCGGGGATCCGGGATCAAATCCGGACTGGTTGAAAAATCCCCAGGAATTTTTAGTGGGATAATCCGTTCCGATATGTTTGACTCCTGTCGCCCCACTGTGGGCTTGGCCGCATCCATAATGGGCCTTCTAAAAAGAGGCCCTATTAGTTCCCAAAGGGCGGAAAGAGAAAATAAAGCTTTCAATTTGTTTAAATCCTTCTTCTGTAAAAGTTATTTCTTGATCTGTTTCTTATTGCTAAAAAATAGTTCTTATAAAAATTATCATAATTTCTGTGCTGTAAATGCCTAAATATTGTACAGAGAATAATTACGGTTCAATATATTTCCTATGGAGCGCTACACAAAATTAACGTAAAAAGTCAAAACTAAACTTCTTAAGAGCTGGGGTCCTGGGCAAGTGCCCACTTGCTCGGCTCTAACGGTGGTGTTGCTCTCCACCATGACTGTATTTTATTTTCTACTTACTGAAAAATAACACCACAAAATTAAATAAAAATTTGTTTGTTTAGTTATGGCAATGAAAAACTTGGGCGATCTGTCTAGGGGAGATGCCTTCCGGGAGGCCTTTTTAAGACAAACTGGCCTCTATTCAGGTGTTACAGACCTGAAGAAAACCCGGAAAACTCCACGTGGCCAGCATGTCCAAGCGAGGTGCGAACCCACGACCAAACTCCTAATATTCAGGGAACGAAGATTACTTGGCCCCAAATAGGACTAAAAATTTATTAACGTAATCATTTGTCTCCAAGCTTCCCTTCAACAATAGAAAATATTTTGGTGCCCTGCCCTTAAATATCTCGACACAAAGAAAGATATGCCACTTTCATAATAAACGGTTCATATGTAATTTATCAAAGTTACAGATTTGCTTTGAATTTAATAGCATTAATCAATAGCAATACACAAACCTCCTTGAAAAACTTCAGTATTTTCGACATAAACAGGAGTTATTAAGCTTCTAAGATGGTGAACAATCTCCTGCCCCATCTATATACAATCCATACATACAGAAGAAATCTCCGAATTTTTTGCATTTCACGACGTTTCAAGGTCTCCTGAGTTCAAAATTATAAAAATATTGGGTGCCATTTTTGACCGATCGCCATACTTGCCCACTGTTGTGTAAAACAGCCGTGAAAGTAATAATACGATATTTGTTATCTAGTACTCTCTCTTTATACAAAATATCGAGTAACCAAAAGGCATACGATAGTTTAAATGCACAGGATATACACCATATATCGCGGCATACTACGAAATCCCTGATTATTCATCAGTTTTCTTGAATATTTAAAATAATCGCACTAAGTTTNATTTACAAAAAATAAATATTTCTAAATGAAATAAGTGGGGGTTTTTTTTAATCAAATTTAAAATTCTGTACGATACGCACACGCAACTCAGCCTACCGATTGTCAGATGATCACTCCTCAACTTATTATTATCACTTTGCCCGACTAGGTGAGAGCAGTATTCATAATGACCGGTCAATTTGATAAATTAATCAATATTTATTACACTGCCCGCCCTATTTGGTCATTATTCATAATGCCCGGTCATTATTCATAATGCCCGGTCATTATGAATAATGCCCGATTAATCACTTTGTCCATAACATATACACGATTTGTACGATCGAAGTGATCTTGGATTAGTTTGATCCCAAAAGTATATGCACCCCTAGGCTTCCACTAGCTAAACCGGGCGAGGTTGGTGCTCTGTAAAGCGCATGCGCGAATCTGGCCTTTTGGATGCTGACAATACAGCGTTTCCACTCCGCTACTCCGCCACTAATATTCAAATATACAATAGCGATCTTATCTTTTTTTCACGTGTAGTATAGAAATTTGTAATAAGATACATAATGCGGTTATAATAAAATATTGTGCGATTATTTTCATATAATTAAAATTAATATGTATTTATTTTTAGAAAATACAAGGGAAGCGCATCCACCGCTTCTAATGACGGCACGCCACTGTCATTTTCCCTTTTCCTGTTTTCTACCCTTCCTGATCTGATGAGAACTATGTTTTTATGCACATTTTCTCATATAAAATTAAATTAATCGTTACCACTAAATACTTAATACCAATTCAGCTAATATAATATGTAAATCACTTATTTGGATTTATGTGATTGTATATTTATCACATAAATCACATATTTATTACATTGTATATTTTCTAAATCTGATAAAGGAGTAAAGTTTAATTAACTTTATTAAATCAAATAAAATTCCACACTATAAACCCATAAAGTTTATTGTTGTGCGAAGACTGTAAAATTTGTGTATATTATGTATTTGTAATTTACCTTATTAAGTGAAAATCAAATAAGGAGAATAAGAAATAGAACTAAATTTTATGTCAATTAATAATCAAGAATATTTCTAGTACAGTAATAACATAAACAATTCAAAGAAAATATTAGTAGGTAATTGATAAATTATTCTTGTTTCTTCATAAATATGTATTCATACCGTATAAGAGCACGCTGTTATACTCGGATTAAAAGAGTATTTATGCTCTTACATCCGAGTATAAAATGCTCTTAGACAATGCAAAATCGGCACTATATTAAACAAAGTACACAAAGAACTGTCTATTTATTTAAAAAAAGTTTTATAGTATCAGAATGTCTTTTGTTTTGCCTTATTAATTTAATAATGATTACCACAGATACTACTGAACGGTTACTGTATCAGAAGCATTTACATTTAATTCACATTGACATATCAGTGTAGTACTCTTGCAAGTCAAAACAGCTGGTGCATATAACAGCATACTCTTATTTGCACGGAAATACAATTAAAGTATAATTAACTAAGCGTGTTTTCTTAAATTCATATCGATTATTTGAAGAATTTTTAACTTTAAGAGCAATGTTACGTTTTTTATCGAAAGATATAACTATTTTTAACATTAATAGATATTTTTAAACATTGTAAAAACAGTTCTAATGAGAAAATGTATTTAAAAAAGTAAAAAAGCAAGTTAAATCTAAACAGGGAAATAATCCATAAGATTATATTTACCAATTTGGATCAGCATTTAATTCTGCTCGGGAATACTTAATATTTCTTCCAATTTAATCACATTATTATCCGTTGTCAGTAGTTACTGATAATGATTGGAGAAATGATCTTTGACTGTATATAAACCTCGATTGGTTTAAATTATCACATGATACCAATTTCTAGAATGTCCGAATGCTTTATCTAGAATACTGTTTAATTTCTTGTTGAAAGCTTATCTACAGTAATAAAAAGTAAAAATACATCTTTAAATTTGAAACTAAAATATTCGCACGATATAAAATATAAAAGAAAATGAGTTGTCTTCATTCTTCCNTTTGTATATATTAACACATATATTAACACAAGCGATCACATTAAGAATTTAGGGGAGAGATCCTTTAAAAAGCCAGAAATTCAAGGAGAAAGAATGGTCGTTTCCCCCTAGCTCAGTCTGTTTATCCTCTGTGTCGAGACTTAATTTTCGTTCGGCTGTATTATAAAGGTTTTTCGGTAGTCAATCTTCTACCGTGTTAACCCTCTGAACACACCTGAAATTTCCCTAAAATTAACAGAGTTTTTTCTTAGTAGCGTTATTGATATCAGAAACTAGCTTTAACTTTACCGAAGTCAAATCTGTGCACTACAACTTTAGAACGATTAATTAAATTTGATAAAAAAGTCCCATTAAAAAACAATTAAAAAGCAATAAAGCGTGAATCGTGCGTCATTAAAGGTAAATTAAAACCGCGATAAAATTTTTCGCGCGGGAAAAAAATTTTGAAAAAATTTGGAGACAAAAAACATTCCAAAAATAAAAAAAAAATTTTTTTAGAGGGTCCAAACGCCCGAGTTTTATGTAACGCTATGTAACATTCTCGAGATATCTCGGGATATGTCCTTTAAAGAAGAAACTAGAAATTTTAGAGAAAAAAATATTTTTTCAATTTTAACAAATTTTTGAAAACGGAACTTTCAACAGAGAAAGCAAGCTGATTTCCTTTCCCAGGCAAACTATTGATGAGTTGATAATTTTGCACACGTTACGAAAAAGCAGATAAAAAGGGGCATTCTCCCCCCATTTGAGGCAGTCCGTTAGAAAAAGGTTGGCACGCAAGAAGTCCAACATACACAGTCCGTCCAGGGAAGTTTGCCATACGAAATAAGTCCGACATACGATATAGTGCAGTCCATCGAAATAAGGTTTGCCATACGTAAGAATCTGATATATGAAGTAGACGACCATACGAAGAAATCGTCATACGAGAAACGTCAAACTAAAGATATAGCATACGCCAAAATTGTTGAAAGAAAAGCATATTTAAAGGAACTTCCCATAGTAAATAGAAGAAGAAAACATACAGAAGGGAAGATGCGATCGACCTACAGGTGAAGGTAATATTGGAAATAGATTGATGTAAACTCTCTCTCGAAAACGCGCCCGCAGAATAAGCATAGGTTAAGTTTTAGTATTATAGTATTAGATTCTTGTATGATTTTATCTATTTTTGTTTTATTAAATATTTGTTCATTTGTTAAGAAATGTCTCTGCCGTCTTCTGAATAAAACATTATCTTCACTGAATCCTACGCGTGTTAATCCGCGTGTTATAATACTGATTAACAGGTGTCAAGGAATCCTGACGTAGATCTAGACTTCACAGTCCAGATCGTTTTAAACATAATTAACAGCCCTCCTAGAAAAAGTTAGTGAGCCGATCTCACGATCGTGTGCCCGTAAGCGGCGTGGACTTAGTTCTACGTCCCTGGCTACTCACATTATTATAGAATACAGTATTGCATTATAGCGTCCCGAGCTCGAGGGGGTATCTCAATCGCTTTTACAATTATAATTTGTGAAATTTTTTACTCGATTCCAGGGAGGAACAAGTGTCCTGTTCGCCTTTCTCTCAGGATGCCCATGTTACAGTCAATATCTTTATTATATACAATAGTTTGTACTGTACTGTACATGCCCAACTCCGCATGGCACTATCGGGAATGAAAACCAGATACAGTAATTATTAATTTGTTTACAATACAGGAATTACAGAGATATCAAAAAGTAGGTTGGAATAGTATACAAGAGTTAATACAATGATGATGCAGGTATTACAATGATGTTGCAGTTAAATAGTGTACATTGATGATATAGTTAAATACAATGATGATATAGTTAATTACAATTTGTTTACAGTATAAGGTACAGTACATACAGAATTACAAAGTGATGGATTTTGAAAGCTTTACAAGTATTGTATATAAACTAGTAAACTATTGTATAGTATAGTATGTACACTATGTAATATTTAAGTGTTAATACAAAATAAAACATGGAGATGTGTATAAGTGCAGAAGGAAAAAGTACATAAATTACATAAAATCGAGTACAATACAGCAAATTAAGTGACGATACAATACAATAGAGTGTAAGAGCCGCCGCAAACTAGGGCTTTGCGAGAGCAAACACGCTAGCAAACGTGCGCTAGCACAACCGATGACGTCGAAGGCTCCGCCCATGTCTTCTTGCCCACGCTGTTTTTCCTTCGCTAGCGCAGCGATACGAGAGTACGCTCGCTGTTCAGATATTTCAACAACTAGAGTATTTACGCTAGCAAGAGAGGACAGGAAAAATGGATGACAACATAAACATGTCACATATCGAAAAAGAAATTATAGAATTTTATCGATGCAAGTAAATTACATGATTAATACATTCAGTATTGAAAAGAAAATAGTATAAACTTTGTATAAAAATAGTTTTCGGCTAGTTAAGCCTAGTTAGGCTTAACTAGTAGGCATGTTTTTCCTATGCTGTTTCAAAGTTCGGAACGAAAACTGACTGATTACAAGTATAGGTTATAATAAAATCTTTTTCTATAGCCAATCCACATCTGTGGAATCACGTCATGAGGATTATTACAAAAAAAACAAGAGGGATTCCACACTGACACAATTAAGAGAGCTTTTAGCTTCTGAACATGGAATCAACATCACTTGTAAGTAGACTACATTTTATTTGTTGTGGGCTAGTATATTTAGTAATACAATTTGGTTTAATTTGCTCAATTAGTAAAACAATACAGTCTGTTACAAAAGTATAGGATCACCACAAATTTTGTGTTTTTTTAAAATCTATTTAAATTTTTTTAATAGAAAACTGTTTTATATGTTTTAAAACAATTACAAAAATATCATTTTCAAAGCTTTTTATTTTTTAACAATAATATAATAGAAGTTATTACAGTTTTTCACTTTACTTGTTACAAAAGCATAGGTACACTTTCTAAAATTACATAAAATTAAATTTTAAATGTATTTTTAACACTTTGAATATTTAGTTTTACCCCCTTTGGCTACAATTACTTGAAAAATTCTGTTAGGCATGGAGTTGATTAATTTTTTCAATTATTCATCTTTACTTTTTTTCAATTGATTACACATTCATATTGTTTCCCTTTTTGATAAACAATGGCTGCTAAAATCCCTCATAAATTTTCAATGGGATTTAAATCTAGACTAACAGTCAAATCTGGAAGGCCAGTCAATTACATCAATATTTTCTTTTTTAAATGAATATTTTGTTTGCATTGAGGCATGAATGGGAGCATTAGCTTGTTGAAACTTCCATTTATGATCTGCAATTAATGCTCCAAATGTAATCATATTATTATACAATAATTCTTGATATTTTTCTGAGTTCATGTTTTCGTCAACAAATACTAAATCAGTTTTACCTCCCCATCCAAAACCACCCAAAATCATTACAGACTCTCCCTCTTGTTGCCAGCTTATTTTAACTCTGCTTTCTCTTCTTAAAACATGCCAATAATATGAAAACTCATCAGAGCCATCTAAATTAAACTTCTCATCACTAAACATTATTTCTTGCCATTCAGTCCATCCCATCTCGTCTTTAGCCCAGTTTAAATGCATTCATTTGTGTTTGGCAGTTAAAGGTGGTTTCAACTTCATTTTTAAATATTTTACGTTGTCATTGTTTTTTAAAGTTCTCCAAACAGTCGCAGGAGATACATCTACTGGTAATCCAGTAGCAGCTTGCCTTGTTGACATGTTTTTATTAGTTATTTGGAATTTGCCTTAGAGATTTGCCTGAGCCACTCAAATAAAAATTTTTATGTATTTAATGCTCCTGAAGTACAGTTCTACGAGGCATTGTTGAAAATGTTTATATAACATTCAATGAAACATTCAAAAAAGTTACCATGACAGGTAAAAATGATGACATCTCACCTTAGTTGTGATAATTTTAAATATTATTATGATAAAATAATTTTTTAAGAGACTTTTAAGTGGTGTATCTATACTTTTGTAAAACACATCAAGAAATGAATATTTGTGAAAAAAA